GGTAGAGCACTAGCCTTGAGCTGAAGAGCTGAGGGACAGCGCCCAGGCCCAGAGTTCAGGCCCCATGACCGGACCCCCCCCCCCCCAAAACAAAACAAAACAACACTGCTGTGCTAAAGAGATGATCCTCTACCTTTCCATGAAGTACAGCACTTGCCCCTTCCATGATGGAAGGCCACTTCTTCACCAGGGCTCCTTAAATACTGGGCACCTATAATCCTGAATACTCAGGAAGATAAGACATGGAAAATTGTATTTTGAAGCCAACAAGCAGAAAAGTTCACTAGACTCCATCTCCAAACTAACCAGCAAAAAGTAAGGCTAGAGGTATGGCTCAAGTGGTAAGACTGCTAGTTTAGCAATCACAAGGCTCTGAGTTCAAACACCAGTATAAGCCCCTCTACATGCACCCCCCCCCCCACAATGGCAAGCCTAAGCCCAAGATTTAAGAGATATGTGAGCAAGGGGAGGTCTAGAAGAAGGGGGCCTAAGAGAAGGGGAAGAATGGCCTCCTCCGTTCAAAGCTGGCTTCTTTTATCCTCATGAGAGCTGTTCTACACTGTTTCTCTGAGGGCCTGGGTGTTCTACACCAGGAATGCAGGCCTCAGCCACAATGCTGGGGAGAGGCTGAGCAAGAGCCAAACTGGCAGTAAATAAACTCAAATCAGACTTTTTTTTTTGGGGGGGGGGGTGTTAATCGTGGTGCTTGAACTCTGGGCCTGGGTGCTGGCCCTCAGCTCTTCAGCTCAAGGTGAGCACTCTGCTGCTTAAGCCACCGCGCCACTTCTGGTTTTCTAGTGGTTTATTATAGATAAAAGTCTCATGGCTGAGTCGTGTGCCAGTGGCTTACACCTGGAATCTTAGCTACTTAGGAGGCTGAGATCTGAGGATCACAGTTCAAAGCCAGCCCGGGCAGGAAAGTCCATGAGACTCTTATCTCCAATAAACCACTAGAAAACCAGAAGTGGCGCTGTGGCTCAAGCGGTAGAGGCTTGTCTTGAGCTGAAGAGTACAGGGACAGCGCCCAGGCCCAGGGTTCAAACCCCATGACTGGAAAAAAAAAAAAGTCTCACGGCCTTTCCTGCCTGGGCTGGCTTTGAACCGTGATCCTCAGACCTCAGCTTACCAAGTATCTAGGATTACAGGCTTAGCCACCGGTGCTAGGCAACTTTTTTTCCCCCCCTTCAATCATGGGGCTTAAACTCATGGCCTGGAAGCTGTCCCCAAACTCTTTTGCTCAAAGCTAGTGCACCACTTTTTTTTTGCCAGTCCTGGGGCTTGAATTCAGGACCTGGACACTGTTCCTGAGCTTCTTTTGCTTAAGGTTAGCACTCTACCATTTGAGCCACAGTGTCACTTTGGATATTTTCTGTTTGTGTGGTACTGAGGAATTGAACCCAGGGCTTCCTGCATGCTAGGCAAGCACTCTACCACTAAGTCACATTCCTAGCCCCGCTCTACCTTTTGAGTCACAGCACCACTTTTGGTTTTCTGGTGGTTAATTGGAGATAAGAGTCTCATGGGACTTTTCTGCCCAGGCTGACTTCTAATAATGATCCTTAGATCTGTGCCTCCTGAGTACCTAGGATTATATGTAAGCCACCAGCACCCAGTGCTTCTCAAGTTTTGATGCACACTAAAAACCGGCCAGGTAGACACAAACCAAGCCATGACCTTCCTACAGCCCAGTTATACACAAGTAGGACAGATTCTTCCAACATAGTTGCAGTGAGAAGGTCTCTTGATTGGCAGCGCCAACATAATCTCACACACTTTGTCACTTTGTAGCATTTTCTCTGCCCAGTACCCCAAATTTTTCTTTGGGAAATGAGAAAACACAACTCAGAGAGGTTATCAGTGAGATCAAGCCACACAAACTTAGTCCTTAGTCCTAGTCTCTCCTCCAATTACACTGCTCCTAAAGGGAAGGGGAGAGCTTTGTTACTTCAACGCGGCTGCCTGGCATCCTGCCTGTACCCCTGAACTGTGAGTCAGCCCTTCAGATACCAGCAAATGATAACTAGATAGTCTCCAAGCTTGAAGACACTCCCAAATCCTAGACATAAAAAAGAGGGACATTCAGAAGAAGCAGCACAAGCAGCCACAATCCATTGCCTATTAGGAATTGCTACACATGGTTCTTCTCTTTCTATATCCCCAGTCTGGAGCAAAGCCCATACAAAGAAGGGGAGAAAGGTATCAGACTGCAGCAGGGATTGTGAACTTGGGCTTTGTGGATAGCACTCAGAGGTTCTGGGCCCCCTCTGAAATTCCTTGCATGATCATGCATATAGTACATTTGCCTGGGAAGAATGTGTTAGATTTCTGGAGGTCCCAAAAAGATCAAGGACTCAAAGATGTTAAAAACCACAAGAATTGCCGGCCACTGGTGGCTCATGCCTGTAATCTTAGCTACTCAGGAGGCTGAGATCTGAAGATCACGGTTCAAAGCCAGCCTGGGCAGGAAAGTCCGTGAGACTCTTATCTCCAATTAACCACCAGAAAACCGGAAGTGGTGCTGTGGCTCAAGTGGTAGAGTGCTAACCCTGAGCTGAAGAGCTGAGGGACAATGCCCAGGCTGAGTTCAAGCCCCACGACAAAAACAAAAACAAAAAACACACAAGAATTAAGAAGACTCAGAGGGGCTGGGAAGGTGGCTCAGTGGTAGAGCGCTTGCCTTGCAAGCCTGAGGCCCTGGGTTCGATTCCTCAGCACCATATAAGCAAAAAGAAAAAAGCCAGAAGTGGCGCTGTGGCTCAAGTGATAGAGCGCTAGCCTTGAGCTGAAGAGCTGAGGGACAGCGCCCAGGCCCAGAGTTCAGGCCCCACAACCGGACCCAAAAAAAAAAAAAAAAAAAGAAGACTCAGAGTCCCCAACCTTGTATATGTGCTCTGGGCATTGATCCAGCACCAAACGCATCATCGAATGTAGGAGAAATTCTCTACCAGTGCAGGTGATCAGCACCATCCTGGCTATTGCCAGAAGATTGGAAAGAAAATAGTATTTGGGAAAAAGCTACTTTGGCATACAGCACAATGTAGTAGAATATTCCTCCAGTCAAGTCTCAGAGTCTTAGAAATGATGCCCTTGTCATTTATCAAGGATATTTGGATGCCCCTGTGCTTCCCCTCACACAGTGTCCAAGAACCATGACCATTTCCTTGAGGGTCCTTTCTACATTCCAGGAAGCACAAGGCAGCCCTCCAGGCCTACATACAGCCTTTACTGGTTAAGGTCAAGGGAGTCCAAGAAGAGGAGGAATTCTGATTAACCTTCTCCTTTCAGCATCAACCATTCCAATCCTGCAGCTGAGGGGAGCAGTAGACCAAAAGACCCAATGTACAAAGGAAATACTCTCAACAGAAAGAAGCTCAGGTTACCCAGAATGTGCAATCACACAGGGAAGCCCACAGTGTTTGTGAACTCCCCATAACAGCTTCCAGCTGTCATTGGACGATGCTTCCTTCTCTCTGTCCTTTTACCCCCCCAAGTAGGGCTTGTGAGCTCCCACCACATTTCTGTATTCCCCAAAGCACCCCTCCCAGGGCTAGGGGCACATGATCAGTAAAAACTTCTTAACTGTTGGGTGTGCATACGGGATATGAGGGTCTGGAAATTCCATTATTCTGTTTGAAAGCAAAGGAGTTAACATAAGAGGCGGTTCCAATTTTCAAAAGACAAAAAGAAATACGCACAGCTAAAGTTATGCGGTGTGGGATGTCATCTTTTTTTGATGATTCAATTCAGGGAAGGCAACTGGGGATACAGCAGTGTCTTTGGTTGTTTGGAAAAGCTTTTCCAAAGAGTAGAATCCCCATATCTTCCTAAATTCCCAAGTCTCTGCTTCCTTTGCCTTGTGCAAAGGAAAGGATTGAGTATGCTGAAGTAACACTGTATCAGATACAAAGACGGGGGTTGAGGAATGTGGGGTGGGGTGGGTGGGGAATGTTTGCTACAGAATCCAGAAGAGATGTGGATACAATTAGATTTTGGACGCTTCCTCCCAGGAAGGCACTCCTTCAGCCTCTTCCATCAGTGATGGGAAAACCTCACAAAGGTCACCAATGGAGGCCTCCCCGTCTGTGCCAGCCATAGCGGCAGTAGGCTGGGTCTATACTAAGGTTGATATAGCAGGACATAAGGCCAGTCTGCCACAAAGCCATGCCAGGGCAACTAGTTTGGTGATTCAAGAGAGCAGCTTTGTTTGCACCCTCCTGCCCCTCTCATACTTAACAAAATTCATGGCACAGGCTACTCGTGTTTCCAAAAGAAACTGAGAAGGAAAAACAAGCCAGTGGTGGTGGACATTATCAACCCCAAACAGAAGGCATTGGCCAGGTTTGCAGAGCCTGTACCTAACCAGTGGACAGGAGGAACAGGTTGAAGGCAGGGCTGGGTAGCATGAAATTCCCTCCTAGGGCTAGGAAACCAAACCCAGCTCCCTTCTCTTGGAGGCTTTGGGGAGGGGGGGGCTCCTGGTCATGGTACCAGCCAGAGTTAGGGGATGTGAAACACTATCTCCATCCTGAACCGGAATAGAGAATATCTCTTAAGTGGGCGAATATCCTAGAGGATGGCATCTCAGCAGTCCTGGGGCCATGCTGTTGAACTCCCCCTCGCGAGACTGGGTCCAGCAGATAACTGCGCAATCCTTGGGGACCCTTGGAAGGGGATGAAGGCCAGTGGGCAGCGACGAAGAACCCTGGCCCAAACCAGGCATGCATCCCGGCCTCCCCTCCTACAGACCAACCCAGTAGACCCTACCGGGGAAGAGGAGCGGGGACAATAGTCCAACAGGTCCCTTTCAGCGGGCCTCATCCAGACAGCCTTCCGCTGCCCTCCCCTGAGGCCCCAAATTCAGCGAGAGCGCCCCAGCCCCGGTGGCCACGCGGGGCTCCGTCCTCTCAGAAGATGGCCCTGGGCGTTGTCCCTCGAGGCGCTCTGCTTGAGGCCGGGAGCTCCCGGGGCCCGCGCCCCCCACGCCCCCTACCCGCGCTCACCTGGCGCAGGTGCTGCAGCAACGTCCCCGCCTCTTCCCGCCGGCCCTGGCGCACCATCCTCAGCAGCTCCTGGACCATGCCGACGCGCCGGTGGTAGGGGGGCAGCCCCGCGCCCGCGCGCCCCGCCTTGTCCCCGGCGCGCAGCAGCAGCGACGCCCAGAAGTCGGGCCGTTCGCGGCGGGGGCCAGGCGCTGCGCCGGGGCTGGCTCTCTCCGCCAGGCTGCCCTTGGTCTGCCGGGTGCCCATGCCGCCGCCCGCCGGGACTGCCCGTGCTGGGCCGCGTCCCCCGCCCGCCGCCCGGGCACCGGCCCCGGCTCGCCCGCCTCTCGGGCTGCAACTTTGGGGGAAACTGTTGCGCGCGGGCGGCGCAGGGGCGGGGGCGGCCGGCTGCCCGCGCTCCCCGCGCTCCTCCCTCCGCGCTCCCCCCAGCGCGCTCCCCAACCGCTCCGCGCCAGCCCGCCGCTCCCCGCCCCGCCAGCCGGCCCCGCCCCACCAGCACGCCCCGCCCCGCCGTCCGGCCCCGCCCCCGGCTCCCGCCAGCCCCGCCCCCGAGCCGGACTCCGCGGCGCCGTGGAGCCTCCCTCCTTCCTTAGCTCCTGCTCCTTCCTTAGCTCCCGCTCCTTCCTGCCACTGTGCTTTGGGTCGAGGGGCGAGGGGAGGGGAGCCGGGTGTCCCCTCTCCGCTTCTTTCCTGACATTGCGCCCCCTGTCGGCCACCGCACCACTGCGTCTCCTGAGACAGTGGTGCGGTGGCCAGAGTCCGGCATGCCTGGTGGATGCATGGAGTCCCTGCCAGGCTCCCCAGATGCTCCACCGTCGCGCGCGCGTGCGAGGGTAAGGCCAGAAGGAGGTGATGGGAAGAGATCCGCGCGCCTGGGGAGATGCGGAAAGTTTGGGTCAGGTGTGTGTGTGTGTGTGGGGGGGTGCTCTCTCAGCCCCAGAGATGGGTAACATAAAGTGGGCCTCGCTGAGAGCCCTCAGACCGTCTGAGGCACTGGTTAAAAAAAGCTCGGCCTCCTGGGCCTCACTGAGACCTACTACTGACTGAAGGTCTCTGGGTAGGGCCTGGTGGTGTGCATTCTTTGCCAGCATCTCCAGGGCTTCTGATGCACTCCTGCGGCCGAGGCTAGTGTGTGGACTTGAGACTTTGTGCATCGTTGTGTGTGTATTCTTGTGGTCTGTTGATTCCGGGAGGCTGTCAAGGATTGCCGCCTTTTCACTCCCACAACCCTGCTCAGTGGTCCTGTTAAGACAAACCAGAGGTGCTCTTAGCTCCAGGAGCACACTGCTGCTCCCTAGGGCTTCCTCTGTCAGGCCCAGCCTGTAAGGGTCCCGGACCCCTGGCAGCCCATGCTACTTAGAGAGCCAATCCCAGGCCCCTGTGGGAGACTAGGCTCAGGGACTTGGGGACCTTCCCTGTCACAGACCACAAGCAAAATGAAGGGTGGCTGCCTTGAACTCAGCTGTAGGAGAAGCAGCAATCTTGTAAGCTCTCTTGTAATCCAAGCCCTGGGGCTGCTTGAGGACTTAAGGATGAGTGAACTATAGGGACGGGAAAGTTGAATCCCATATCCTAGACAGTTGGACTCCACTCACTCACTGAGCCCAAGTATCAAGCCAGCCCCCAACTAGTGGAGTCCTAGTTGTTCTTCTGTCATGTCCGGATAACATGAGACTCATTTCCAATAAACCACCAAAAAGCTGAAGTGGAGCTGTGGCTCAAGCAGTAGAGGGCTGGCCTTGAGCAAAAAAGCTCCAAGGCAGTGCCCAGACCCTAAATTCAAGCCTCAGGATTAGCACATAGCACACACATACAGTTCCTTCTGCTGTATGCTCATAAGGGTCTTCATCAACCAAGTACCCTGAGAATGAAGCCTTAGGGTCTTTCCCAGCAAGGGACCCCTTTTACATCCCACTCCCAAATGTCCATTTCTTCTCTTCCTTCCTTCCTTCCTTCCTTCCTTCCTTCCTTCCTTCCTTCCTTCCTTCCTAATACTAGAATTTGAACTAAGGAACCTTATGCAAATGGATGATGCTCTACCACTTGAACCATGTCTTTGGCCTTTTTACTAGTTATTTGGAGATGAAGTCTTGCAGACTTTTCTGCCTTGGGCTAGCTTCAAACCTTAATCCTCCAGATCTCAGCCTCCTGAGTAGCTAGGATTACATTGCTGAGTCATTGACACCTGGCTCTAAATGTCCACTTCTGCTGACAAAGAACAGTCTTCCTACAAGCTGGCTTCACAGAGCTCAAAGCAGCACTTTCAAAACTCACTTGTATACTTTGCATGAGGGATGTACCTGTTGGCATCTCAAGAGAACTCAATTCAGGAGATTCTTGTGTTGTCTCTTAACTCTTGCCTTCAGCACCACCAGCAAAGTAGCCACCAAGGACACTTGCTGACGAGATCCTTCCCTAGGAATAATGGTCACTATCTACTTAGATGCTGATCACACAGCCCCTGCTAGCAAGTTGGCCTGCTTGAATCTGTGTGTGGTTGGGAAAATGCCATTTTAGTGGGGGAGGACCAGCCCCTTACTTGGGATCTCAATGTCATTCCTTATCTTCAGAGACCTAAATCTATCCTCCTTTTCCTGCTGTTACTGCTCTCTCCCAACACCCATGTTCTGGCATGTTCTAGGTGTATTCTAAGCTCTTCTATCTATTGAAAGAGTTCATTGTCCCTTCATATGCATACACCTGCTCTGTTCTCCAGTGCCCTGCCTCTTCTTCCTTTTTAGGCAAGCTTTGGAGAAATTCCTTTTGTTTATTGTCACAAACTTCTTTGATTCGTCATCTGTTTTGGTTTGGCTTCTGGTCACACCACATTATTAAAATGCCTCTTGCCACTGACCTAGTTGCTAAATTCAGTGGCCACTTTCAGGCTTCATTTTACTCAACTCTTCAGTGGCATCTGATCCTGTTACCCATGCAGTTATGTTTTTGTTTATAAATATAATTTTATTGTTACTATTAAGAAGTTGTAACAGAGGGGTTACCATTTCATAAGTCAGGTAATGAGTATATTTCTTTTTTCTGACAATGTTTCTTTACCCCGGTTTCCCCCTCCCATTCCTGCCCACAATTACATAGATCATTTCCCACATAGTGCATACTGAACCCACTTGGTTTTGAGTGAAACTCTACTCTCTTGACTTGCGGGGAAATAGTCTCCTCTAGTTTCTTTTCTTTTCCCCTTTCCCCTTCTTTTTCCCTCCCCTTGCCTCTCCTTCATTTCCATCTTCCTTTTTCCTTTCCCTTTTGGATTGCTCTGTGTGTGTGTGTGTGTGTGTGTGTGTGTGTGTGTGTGATGGTCAGGGGAGTTGAACTCAGATCCTGGGTGCTGTCCCTGAGCTTCTTTTGCTCAAGGCTAGCACTCTACCACTTGAGCCACTCTACCACAGTGCCACTTCAGCATTTTCTGAATATAGTTTATTGGAGATAAGAGTCTCACAGACTTTTGTACCTGGGCTGGCTTCCAACAATGATCCTCACATCTCAGCCTCCTGAGAAGCTAGGATTACAGTCATGAGCCACTGGCACCTGATTCACATTACTTTTTTTTTTTTTTTAAACAATTTTGTAGTCCTCTAAACTTTGGTCATAGTTTTGGTTTCTTTTCTTTGTTTTTGTTGGTTGTGGGGCTTGAACTCTGGGCCTGGGCACTGTCCCTCAGCTCTTCAGCTCAAGGCTAGCCCTCTACCACTTGAGCCACAGTGCCACTTCTGGCTTTTTCTGTTTATGTGGTGCTGAGGAATCGAGCCCAGGGCCTCATGCATGAGAGGCAAGAACTCTACCACTGAGCCACCTTCCCAGCCTTCGGATTACTTTTTATTTTGTATGTGTGTATGCCTGTACTGGGCCTTGAACTCAAGACCTGGGTGTGTCTCTTAGCTTTTTCCCCCAAGACTGGCATACTACCACTTGAGCCACAGTTCCCCTTCCAGCCTTCTGCTGGCTAATTCGAGATTAGAGAGTTTCACAGACTTTCCTACCTGGCTGGCTTCAAGCCAGGATTCTTAGATCCCAACCTCCTGAGTAGCTGGTATTACAGCAAGCCACCAGTGCCTGGCTTCTGTTTCCTTTTCCTTCTCATTTTTGCAGTGCTGAGAATGGATCTCAGGGCTTTGTGCATGCCAAGCAAGTGCTTTGTCACTGAGAATACCCTTAGCCTGTTTCCACCTATGGAGCTCCTTTTTGACTCCCATCCTTTACCTGCGTTGTTACTCAGGGAGCTGCCTGAGACCTCTTTCTAGGCAGTGTCATTTATACTCATGGCTTTACCCACATTCACCCACCAGTAACTCTGACTTTCACTCCCAGGTTATGCGCTAGTGAATTCACCAGCCACTGATTGATGACTGTTGGCAGAAGACACAGGACTGCAGGGTTGGAGACTGAGGCTTTATTGCTCCAGGCACAGCAAGTAGCCAGAGCATCAGAATATTTCCTCCAAGTCCACAGGGGTGCTGTGATGGCCCAGATGGATGCTCCTTGTGCAGTTGGTTTGCATCAGAGCTAGGAAACATGGAACTTGGGGATTCTACTGCTTATCTAGGTAACAGTAAGCAAGCCTGTGCTTTGTCCTACAGGAGACAGTGCTTCAGCCTTCAAGGTTGCTCATTACAAACACGACACTGAGAGGTGGCTCTTGTAAAAGAAGCCAAGGTCTGTGTTCTTGGCATACGCAGCAAGATGTGTAAGAGCACCAGAGACCCATGGAGCATTCTCTTCCAGCGGTGGGCACCTCACATTCAACAGATGACTGCGTCCTTTTTCAGGCCTCCCTCCTAAACTTCTGCTTCCTGCTAGGAACAGCAAGGTAGCCCTGAAGTCACTGTGCACTGGCTAACTTGCCTAGGATAGTAGTTTTTTAGTGCTGGCTTTGCCCTGTGTTCTTGGCCTTGGGCTGTGCCATTTGTATATTTACATATTTATGCTATTTCATCCTTTCCACATCTAGGAGGTAGGCTTTGTTATATTCCAGTTTCCCTGGTGAGGAAATAAAATCTTAGTAGGTTAAGTGATTTGCTCAAGGTCACACAGATAGTAAAAGGCAGAGCTGGAACTCAAAACTCACATTGTGATTACTGCTTTATACCATTGGTCCTCTTCCTTTTCCTCCTCCTCCATCATTTTTTTTTGTAGTCATGGGGCTTGAACTCTGGGCCTGGGTGCTGTCCCTGAGCTCTGCAGCTCAAAGCAAGCACTCTACCACTTGAGCCATAGCGCCACTTCTGGTTTCTGGTGGTTAATTGGAGATA